AAAAATAGTAGTATAACATTTCATATTTAGAGTCCCTGGCGAGTAAAACAAATGTAAAGCTAACTCTGCTATTTTTATCTGAATCCTATAATAATTAACGAATGCTATAAAATCCGAGCCTTGATTATAAGTATTTAGTGGGAGAAGCGATATAGAATAAGTTGAAAAAAAAGGTTTCACCAAAATAAATTTATCCAGAGTTTCAAAAAATAATGTATATAAAAATAATTCTTAATGTCATCCCTGGTAATAAGTTCAAAACATAATACTTACGGTAGTAAACGTCAAGACAAATTGTACTTGTGAACTTACTAAAACTATTGCAATAGCTAATAAATAAGATATTTTACTTATATTCATTATAAACAGAATAAATTAACTATATAAAATACTTATGAAATGTATTACAACTACACACCGTTCGGTTAATCTCGTTTTAATAAATTATTTATGTGAGTATAAATACAATTTAAAAAAAAAAAAATGTCTGTTATTGAAGTATGCAGTTATTGAGTTGAAACGTCACGAAAGACCGATTCATACGTAATGATGTATAGTTATTGAGAATCAGTAGATGTATTAATGTATTATGTAATAAAATTAATTTATGACTTGCGCTAAAATAAAAAACTGTTGAATTAATAACAGCAGTAATGACATCCGTATCGTTAGCTAATTTGTGTACGTTTTCATCTTAGAAATTTACAGAAGGTTCCTATAATTTATGGTCAATATAATTATCATAACATACTATTAAAATTTTTATAAATAATTATCAAATTAATCTTTTTTTTTTTTTAAATTTAATAAATCATTGTATTTTTCAATGGGTTTTACAACTAAAACAAAAATGTATACCTGTGTGTAATATAGATATTTTACTTTTGTAAGCAATTCATTTATAATAAGAATATATATATATATTATATTATTATTATTATTATATTATATATATTTAGAATAAGAACCAACTTAATAAATATTTTGATTTACTGGGGCCCATATTTGGATATTTTCCGCCCAGGACATGTTTTAGCCAACACCTTTAAAAACATAATTTCCAAAATCTTAGATATAAGGTAAGTATTTTGTTAAAGATAAAAAGTTGGTCCTCAGAGAATTCAATCTCGAACAATTTCANAACTGAAAATGTCTGTTTCATTTATTAAAATATCAATAATAGCTTTTTTGTAATTATAAGTCATTGTACTTATTCACTGTCAAAAATTAGTTTCCATGTTTAAATTTCACGGCATATGTTTTAAGGACATTTGTTCTCGCGTAACATGTAAACGCTTTACTACAAGTGTTTTTGGAGTTTTTTTCCAGATCTAGTATGAATTTTGTCATTGTATTTTGTGAATTTCCATCTAATACAATACAAATTATCACATTATATGAATATAACTTAATGTAGTAAAAATTTAAATTTATCTATCATTGAGTGATATCGCCTCATATATCATCTATTATAATATAGTGTTGCACGACTCAATAATCAGAGCCATTTTTGTATGGTAGTTTTCAGCTGTGGTTGTAACTACTCCTCATCATGTGCATCGTACTGGACATAGTTGTTTCGTTGAGGATATACATTGCGCTGGAAATCGCAGGTAAAAAAAGAAAAATTATGGGATAAAAAAAAGTATACATTGTGTTTATGTACAGTGCGCCGACCGATATTCGAATGTAATACATTGTTGTATGTGATATGATCGACTTTTGAATATATAAAAATGCGAATTAGTATATTTTGTGATTATCGCATTGACACATATTATATTGTAGAACATTCAACTTTTTTACCGTACCTTTGGGCATCGTGTAATATTAGGTGAAAAAATTACAAATGTCTGTGAGTTGTTTAATTCAGCATTTGGAAAATATTTCTACTCATTCCATCCAAATATTTTTTGTTCTTTATGAAGTTTTTAAAATTATTAAACATCAGTCGACAGTCATACATGAGAATGAATATCGCTGAGAAAGAAAAAAAAGAGATTCAAAATCAAAGATACAAAAAACAAATAAAAACATAAACAAATATAAATAACGTAAATAAAAAGACGTCCTAGGATAATGGAGATGGGTGCGGCTATTGTTATAGATAATTTAATGTACACCAGTAAGCAACGATAAATCATTGATTAGGAAAAAATGATTCTGAGCGGAGTTCAGTTGATAGTGATGCTTTACCAACGATATATACGTCATATTATAGTAAAATAATTATATAGAATTTGTATATTTTCTTTAATAATATTTGTTTAATGTTGTACCGATTTTCCCAGTTTAACTGACAAAAAACGGAGGAAAAACGGGAAAATGTACGAAATATTTTGGTAAAATATTACGAGTTTTTTTCCTGTGCAGAACTTTTTAATCAGAAATATTGCTCAAACTTATAATGATAGCAATTTTTCTAAAAGGAAATTTCACTAGGGAGGTACTTTAGAGAGGTCATTTTTCAATTTTCTCAGAAGTTTTCTCATCAAATGTGAAGAACCAGGAAAAAATATGATAGTAGGTGAACTGGGTAGTGGTTCCTGGGACTGTGCTTAGACGCATTGTTATGTACCCAGGGCTTGCTTTGGAATCCTCCGGGTCTCTTGAATAGCTACCCTTAGTTAATATAAGGTACCCGGTTGTACCGTGCTCTGGCGTGAATTAAAATTCAAGTCCACTCACTGTAATTGTTCAATTGGTTTGAGTTAAACCACAACTAAAACACTGATCATAATTTCTAATGCCCCGGAATTCGAAAATTATTTGAAAATTTGTCAAATAAATGATACATAACTGTATTGAAAATATATAATTTTTCTGGAGTCGAAAACAGTTCTAAAATATGGAGGTAAAGCCGGGTCTACACTAGGACAAAAATTGTTGTGAAAACATGTTTGTTTAAAATGTTTTCCGACTTGACGAACTAGTGCTACTGTGCTTTGAAATGTTCGACAATAGCGTTCGTTCAACTCACATAAAAAATTTCCAGTCAATAAATTGGCAACTTAAAGATTTCTCGCTCGCGTTATTTTTCTTCGTGTTAGTACATATAGAAGTATTTAAGTGCAATATTTTAACAACAAAAACAATAGTTGTTATTAAATAATAATTATAAATTAAATACATACTTTTTTAAATCTTTAATTCTTTATTCAATATTTAAAATTAAAGTTTAAAGTTTTAAATAAAACAATAATTCAAAGTATGTATAGTTAAGCTTAATCCATAATTAGTTATTCCCTTTGGACTTTTTTAATCGTAATATTTATTCAAAAATACTTATTCATTTAAATTTAAATACATTATAAATTGTTGTATTTATAATTTAATTACTATGTATTTAGTTAATATTTGTTTTTAAATTAATTGTTAGCCGCCGTGGACTGTAGTATATTGGTTATCGACAATCGTCAAAAATCATTCGTCGAAGAAGAAACAGAGTACATCCACACCAATTTTGGTAACCTAAAATTATCTGACTTTAATGCAGTAGCGGCTTGTGGGCGTAGTGTAGCAGTAATGGGCGCTGATGAAGGGAGTACGGCTGTGTTTTATTACGATGTACGAATTACGGTTACGAAATAATTACAAAAATACAATAGCACATATATTTGCATAAGACTAAACAAAATTTTCACAATTATTACAAAGCTACACGCAGTTTAAACCATATTATTATTGATAACCAAACAGTTTTAGATCCGATACGTTTACCGTCACTAGTAGCGTTGCATCCACGGCTTTTATATCAGAAATTATTGAATAAGTTAATTAAGTTGATGTAGTATATACGGATTTAAAACAAAAACCATTCATTAGAGTAGACAATCTTGTAAGAATTCTTGAGTCGTTAGGTATCAGAAATTTACCTCTATTTTGGCTAAATTCTTATCTACATCTCCCAAGGGCGGAACCTGGATAAGATTACGGAGGGGGGGCAAGGGGTGGTGATTTATAAAATGCTTACAAGGTATGCATTTATGACGAGCTCAATGAAAAATCAAGCTAAGAGTATAGAGAGTGAATGGGGGTGGGCGATCGCCCTTATTGTCCCTCCCCCGGATCCGCCGCCACTGAAACTTCAAAACGGAAACATTTGTTAAAATCCTTAATGCAGTCATTTTTATCTGAAGTTCCATTAGGTGAATTCTAATGACAACCTGACTCTTTACTCAGGTTGTAATTTCAGCCCCCTTCTTTTTATATTATTCGTCAATTTAATTGGTAAATGGATAACAATAATGCGAAATGTTTTTTCTTTGCTGATAAACATGGATATTGACACACTTAATAGTTATACTCCAAGCTGAACTTGACATTTTCGCTTCATGGGCACAGATGTTTCTGAGCACGTTTCTCGATTTAATATTAGCAGATGTCATGTTGTCTTTTTCTAGAAGACGCATTGCTATCTGTCACCCTTACTCGTTAAACAGTATATCTTTCACAAAATCGATTCCTTTTTCACTCAGTCTATGTTCTCAAAATTGATCACATTCGCCATACAACGTGCATTGAATATCCCTCACTTTTTTCATGTCATTACGAAGTGGAAATCTGATTTCTTTCCTCTCTTCTTGATGGCTCCTTAGAAGCACCCGATCTCCTTGTTACCATTAACTACCGTGTAGCTTCATATTTCTCCAAAAGTCAAGCACCTTTTATTGTTCCATCCTTTTGTTTATACGATCATAACTATTCAATTCACTGAATACTTCACACTCGCATACATTATTTGAATAAATTTCTTTTTAAAAGCTGTTTTGACACTTGACATACGAGCGCGTGACATTTTCTTATACAAAAATCAAAACTAATATATTTTCTATGCCAGTTCGATTTTGTACTTACATCAGTCAGTAGTAATATAACAATTTATTGGGATCTTAAAACAGTGTATTTTATATTTTTTCAATTAATTCATATAATTATAGTTACAAAAATATTCTATTCGCTTAAAACATGTAACAGTATATGTTTCGACTATTTCTGTACTAGGTATTTTTTGACAATTGTTTCACGATGTATGGGCCAATAATTAAATGCGAATTTTTATCCATTACAAAAGACTGATGGCTGAATGGTATGTTATCTATGTAAAGAGTATCTTTAACATTGGGTAAATTATCCAATAACCATTTAATATCCTGAAATTAAAAATTCAAATTAACAATATTAATATAATACTAATATTGTGGTAAATCAATAGATTATATATTTGAGTATTAAAAAAAAAAAACTATACATTTTAATTTCATTTTTGTACAGTAAGTAAAATGTACATTGTACATCTATAAAGTTATAACCTATATTTTAGTTAAATTTACATAAAAGTTTTATTTACCGAAGGAGGTACAAGATTATCCATTTTCGAATACATAATAATTGCTGGAGCAGTGATATTTGTTATGTTATACTCTGGAGGATTTATAGAATTATAATGCACCATATTTCCAATTGCTCCATAATCATAATTAGTAAAACGACCTATAAATAAATTATAAATTAAAATTAATTTTGTTTATGAACAAACATATTCATTTAAATAAATCCAAATATAAATGTGTCTGACATTTAAAAACACAAATACATTGTGAACAATTTTAAATCCAGTAAGGACTAATTAGTTATTTAGGTTGTTTGTAAATTTGAACTTTTAGGATGTTTACATCTTCTGAAATACAAAGGTAAAACAATATCGATAGTTAGAATAGTCATTTTTAGTTGTTTGTTATATACCTAAAACTCAATTATTCAAAATGTATGCCTAATTGTAGGTAAAAACTTTATAATAATAGAGCTGAAAATATAAACAAAATACAATAGTAGATAAAAAAAAAGATTTAAAGTTTGTCGATTCAAAAAGTTGATAACATTTTCTAAATTTTTAAAAATTGTACAAGTTCAAAGTTGTCAATGATTTTATTCAATTTGATTAAGAAACTAATACCCATAAAAAAATATTGATTAATTGCATTCCTTAATTTTAATGTTCAATTAAATTATTTTAAAATTCCTATTCTATTTTAATTATTATGTTTGCTGTTTTGCCATTTTTCTTTAATATTTCTGATTTTCCATTTTAACGCATAGGTACTATATGTATCAGGTCAATTTGAATTAAGATTTAAGATAATTCTATGGCTAATTAGTTAACCATAGTTAATACAATTTTACCTGATAACAATAATTGGAAATAATGTTTAATTGTTTTCATCGATGTAGGTTGAGGATAAGTGGTGAACACATCTATAACAGGTTCCTATAAGCAAAGATAAAATAAATGTAAATTTGTATTTTCTAAAAAATGAATAATATAAAAATAATACATTATAAACAATACACAATAAATCATAAAATGGGATGTTGTTATACATAAAATACATACTATGTGAAGTGGATTATTAAATCCTTGTAAAATGTTCAATGAATAAACGCAAATGAATCCAAAAATTTTTATCTTACATAATTGTCCAGTTGGAATATTATCAGGGTCTTTGTTAAGTGATATGTAACGAGTTTTGATGTTTGTTTTCTAAAAAGTATGCAGTATAATACATTACTCATTTATAAATTTCATCGATAATAATAATTAGAAACGCGTTATTAAGTTTAAATTGTATTTTGTTTTTATTTAATAACATGACGACTATATAATGATAAATCTTGTAGACTGAAAATAAATAAATGTTATAAACTTCAAAATTAAATATTTATTAGATGTTTTAAATGTTTCAAATAATGTTTAGTGAAATCAAATATTAAAATAATAGTAACAATACATAAATGGTAAACATTCATGATTCAATTATAATAGAAGATATTTATTATTATGTAGATGCAACTCTGAATTTGTATAGTTATTTGTTGAAATTGTAAATTCGTATGGTTATTTATTGAAATCTGCAAATTGTATAGGGAAAATTCATAATACAGATTTCAGATATGATAAAAAACACTAAACAAAATTGATTTACAGTTTAAGTTCAAAAATATGTAATTACCAAGAATCTCTGAACAGCTTTTCTAATAAAGTAATATTGTATGCCTTTATACGCAGACGTTATTCTTGTGGCTGGTGCCATGAGGATTAAATTTCTAATTTTCTTATTATATTCAGGTCTCTCAGCCAGCGTAATTAGAGGAATGGTTCCACCTAGAGAAACACCACCAACGTCCACTTTTGAATGCCCAGTTACAGATATAACAAGGTCAATGGCAGCTGGTAAATCATACACACCAAACTCGTGAAAACTTTAAAAAAAAAAAACAAATTGATTATCAAATTAACACTTATATTATTAAAAAGTTCCATTGTAGTTACTATTATGCAAAAAATTAAATAAACAATATGTTTTGAGTTTTTTATACTGAATAAAATTAATATGATTCACTAAAATAATAGTAATAATTGTTAATCGTAAATGAAAACTAACATTGTTCACGTAATTTATTAAAGTTATTTATTTGACAGCTTGATTAATTTTATAATTATTTATGGTTTTGGTTTCTGGTGTACTCTAATATAATAAGGAACTAATTCTTATTAAATATATAACTAAGTCTAATGGAGTTAAATATTATGGTACACTGTTAATTTAGTTTAATTTATAGAAATGTCATAAAACCAAAATTTGTTAGTAGTGGCGCAACCTGGATTTATTTTCGGAGGGAGTTTTATGAATTTGAAAAAAAAAATCAATTTCAGATGTTGGTTGGTGAGATAGGGAGAGTAGGGTTTAATTAGGATAATGAGTAAAATCTTTAAATTGTTTAACTTTTATTTATAGACAACGTATATTGGAAAATAATTTAGATTTATATTAATTATGTAATGAAATATACTTTACTCAAAGGTAAATGGTAAGCCGTTTAAATCTTCGGGATATTATTTGATAATAATTAATTAATTAAAAAAAAAAAAAAAAACACAAATTATTAATTTTTAATTATTTTTCATTTATTTAGACATAGAAAATAGTTTGATTACTTTTTAAAAATAATATTGTGTAAATGGTTTTCTTCAGAGCGAATGGCGTGATGTGCTCGTTTTTTGGCATTTTCCATCACTTTTTGAAGTGTTTCTGGCTGAATAGCGGTTATTTTTTATCATGTATTATCTTTCAACGCTTCTAGGGTCCATGGCTTCTTGACATAAAATCTAGACTTTAAATAACTCCACAGGAAAAAGTCTGGAGGCGTTAAGTCGGGTGATCGTGGAGGTCACTTGAAATCACCATTTCTTGAAATTAAGCGTCCGATGAACATAGGTCGCAATAAAGCAATCGTGGTTCGAGCTGTATGAGCTGTGGTGCCATCCTATTGAAATCAATGGTCATTATCAGTCCGAAATGGAAACAAAATATCCATTATTATGGCCCGGTAACGCTCTCCATTGATGGATACGGCTGCTCCAGCATCTCCTTCGAAAAAGAACGGTCGAATGATTGTTTTCACAAAAACTCCGGCCCATAAAGTCACGCGTTGATTGTTAAAAGGTTGATCGTGGATTAATTGAGGATTTTCATTGGCGTCACAACCAACAATTATGTTTCTTTATGGCCTCATTCAACCTTAAACACTTTGAAAAGTGATGGGAAATGCCGAAAAATGGGTTAATTACGCTATTTGCTTTGTAGGCGACTAAGCAATATTGTTTTTAAAAAGTAATCAAAACAAATTTCCAAAATAAACGAGTCTCTTAAGTATAGAAAATTATTTTTATGATGATAATTGTTATCATTTATTCATACAGGATGTTACAACATTATATTTCAAATTGGTATGAAAATCATGCAATTAGTAACTACGCACTATGTAAAATTTGTAAAAAAACTCACAAACATAGGGCGGGAGGGGGTCACAAGCCCCCCTAGTTGCACCACTGGTTCTCAGTACTAAAATATTTAGAAAGTATTTCAGTTCGATAAACTGTTATACTTTAAATGTTGCTTATTGATTTACACTCATTAATATTAGTTTATTGTACATCTAGGTAATTCGTAAGTATATGATTAATAATATTAACCTAAACTATATTATAATATAAACAAATCTAATCTACTCGTTTATAATTATCATATTATGCTATTAAAAGAACATTATAGGCAATGTTATTACCAGTAATCCCAATTTATACTACTAAGTTTAGGAATTTCTCCTGTTCTCGGATCCTTAATTTTTTTTGACATTCCCGTAACTCTGTAATTGAAAAGCCAAACGTCAAATCCCGCGTCTGATAGCACATAACCTATAACATTAAAGTTGTTTATGCATAGTTTCATTTTATAATATGTGTACTATTATGAAATATGATAATTAAGTACAGTAGCGGATCTAATGCTAATTTACGGAGGAGTTAATTGAAAACAATTTCGGGAGTTCATTCGTTTACTAAACATATAGTTCAATACTCTTAATTTAATTTTATATTCAAATGGTTTTACTAATAATATATGTGAATTTGTTTGTGTCTGTGAACTTTTCTACCAGAAATCTTGTTCTAATCAAAAAACGATATTTTTGGATCTAAATGGTACTTTGGAGAGGTTTTTTTTGTATTTTCCAAACAGTTCTCATAATAATTTAGAAAAATCAGAAAAAACTAAAAACGGGAACATTTACGGTGATAACGGTTTCATTATTTTTAATATTAACTTTTCTAGACATGGTTCAATTATCAAAATACTGAGATTAATTATCGTTCATTTGATAAGAGTTATCAAATACATACACGATCGACAGTTTAGTTTCAGTTTAAATAGTAAAAAAAAAAAAAAAAACGGATAGGTTGATCATTTTTATACAAATTGTATGTTAGGCGATGTTCCCAAGGGGGAGAAAAACTGAGCCGATTTATCAAACTTTTGCTTGTACACATAAAGTGTATATAACTGAACAAAATGTTTTGGAGTCTCAGGAAAAGTCCCATCACCAAATACATTTTCAGAATTACATAACAGTATAAGATTAGCTGATCAAGTTATTATCATCATATTTTTTCTTGGTTAACAAAACAAAATTGTTCATTATTAAAAGCCATATTATATTTTTTGATTTACATAAGCTGTTTTCTATTCTTCTTCAATGGTAATAGATAGAGTAGGAAATAACGTTTTCTAATACGATAAATACATTGCCTAATAGACGATAAATCGGAATACATAATTTCATCAGAATTCAAAACTCGAGACAACTATTGATCCCGTGATAAATGGAGAAAATGGAAAAAAAAATACTTGTTTCATACTTATTAGGCCTGCCATTATTACGCCCTACCCTAGCAAATATTGAAATGACGCCTTTGGTAATAGGCAAAATAAGAAAATGATGTTTTCTAACACGCTATATACATTGGCTCACAAATGATTTATCGGAATACATTAGAGTTTCATTATCATACTTCGAAAGTAAAGTTGAACGTACTATTTTACCTGGTTTTGAGTTTAAGTCGTTATTTGTTTTTCTTTATACAATATTTTTTACTGAATTCAATGCTAAAGTCTTTGAAGTGGAGACATCGTGATTGTGAGAAGTGTTATTGAATTTAATAATAGTATACTCATTTGGTGACTAATATACTAGATCCACATTTTTTGTTTGTATGTCAAAAACTTACTGTCAGTGGCAGCTTTGGGGGGAAAGCAAGTGAGATGGTGTCCAACCAAAAATTTGTTGTTAATAATACTCTACAAGTATAATTCTTCGCTCACCGATAGCACACATTTTGTTAATAATTTTTAACGTATTTATTGATTTTATTTGAAAAAAAATTGTTCTTTACGAAGTTTAATAATATGGATTGTCATTTATTTTATTATTGTATAAAATCATTCCGTGTTTATCACCAAAAATAGCGATAAACCGATACGAATTGCACGAAATAATTATTACGTAAATAAACGTTGACATTTCAGCAGGCGACAACGTTTCGATGACGTTAAAGAGGCGACCGTTTAACGTCACCTCTAAATTTTTACTTGTATACAATAATTTCACACACGTCACACACGTGTATGTACGCAAATACCCGCGACCTTAGATCGTATACTATGGATAAAATTACTGCTGCATAATAAACGCGTACGATAAACGAGTTGAAGACACCATTATTAACGAGTGCTAAGGTGAATGATGTCTATTGCGCATGTGTATCAGTACTCGTCACATATTTATCGTATAGTCATTATAATATCACCAGGCAATGTTTGATGTACCACCTAACATCAAACATTGACACGTGATTACGTTAATTCGACCAATTGCGTGTAATATAAATTTTGCGCATTTGCCACAACTCACCTTAGTTACGTTTGCTTCAAATATTCAGTCAATAGCTCTATCCATAGTATATGATTTAAGCACAAGACTGTTAAATAAGCAGAATTGCGTATGCGCAATGATCATCGTGCGGTTCGTTTTTCATAGCTTCTGTGAACTAAAGATAGATGTGGTATTATGGTAAGTCCGCAGCAGCCACGAGTGCGGCACGTTCAACAACAAAACACATAATCATTAATCAGTTATCATTGTTACAGCGCCTGATGAAACCGATTTCAATACCTATTAGTTTTTTATTTTTCTGGCTTGTTCGAATCGTCGCTCGTGTTAGTTCGTTTAAATCTGTTTACGCGTGACGCCGTTTTTGTTATTCAACATATTTTATATTATGAATCCAGTGACAGACGTTGATGTTGTTGGAAACGCCATTTCGACGTTGGAATTCTCGTAGTAAAAATGATTTACTAAAAGTAGGTAGGGCTATTCCGATTTTGTCAGTTTTGGCTCCTGACAAAAAACTAAGTAAAGTATTCTATAGGTCATTTAATACAAATGTTTATCAACAACACTCTTGGTTACGTGAAAGTCATTATACATAAAATTTGTTCTGGTATCCGTGTTTGTTATTGGATAAAATTAAGTTGGTTTGGAACACTGTTGGCCGTTGGGTATAATATACGAAACAAGTATATTATTATTATAATTATAATTATTTTTATGTTTTCAAATTCTATTATTGTGAAGTTTAATTTTTGTTATGAAGGGAGGGAGAGTGATAAATAAGTTGCCTCACTAAAAAATACAACCAAAACCGCCACTGCTTACTGCATTATCTTTTAAACATTTGATTTACTTAATTCAAAGGTTTTAATTATTGTATATTCGTTATTTTGTATAGAATTGAATTTTACGTTCATTTTCGTTAAAATATATAACTATAACTTATAAGAAATTATATTGGTTAGGTTAGCTCCTCGACAGCGAATGACAAAAAGACTAAATAGTAAATATTGTAACCTTGCTCAAAGTGCGTTTATTATCTAAATAAATGCCATAATTTATTATCTGTTTCTAATCATATTTAATCTATTAGATGTAGTCAGTACATAAAAAACAGTAACCTAACTTATAGGTCGAAACGATTTAATCATATATAGTAAATATTATAGAAATTGTTGTATACTCCTAATTTTTGTATATTTACTTACAACTAATTTAAATCTGAGTTTTCGATTATGATATATTCAACAAAGATAATAATAAATCTGCCCCAAAACGATTAGTTAATTTTCACCCAAATGATATATGCTTTACTCGGGTAAATTTTGGGTCATTCGCCCAGATGAATGACGGCCGTTATCACTATAGATAAAAAGCTATAATAGAAAAAAAAAGTCTCATCAATCTTGAAACACTGATAAGGAAATTATAGCTTAGGGGGAGGGTGATTTCCCGGTGCACCCTCCCCTTAAATCCGCTACTGGTTAAGTATAACAAAATATAATAATATCAAATTTTCTTTAATACTCACCGAGTGATTTTTCATGAGATACATATACAATAGATGTAGCAAACATACCGGATAACAAAATCACAGGTTTACCAATAGTTCTATTACCATATTTACTGTATGGTATACGTTCCATACCCAGAAAATAATTGTCTTCACTTTTGTATTCATACATCTTTAGTGGATATCCACTAGCTTTAATTTTTTCCCACTTTAAAATATAAAAAATTAACTATTATGGGTTACTTATGTACAATTTAAATAAAACACTACCTAATCTTATATGATTTTGATATACTTAAAAGGTTTTTTAGAAATAAATTTAATATTCTTTAGAATATTTTTTGTAGGCTGTACTTACCGTTTCTTTTGACGACACAAAATATTGTGTGCTGTATAATATTGCCACAATAATCCAAAAGTATATCTTATAAATATTAATCATTTTTAAAATTAATTTGAACTCTCAAAAAGTAACAATAAAAATACAAATAATTATAGAACTTATTTCAGTTAGTACATATGTATATATTGACAAGTTTATAAGCAAATGATTTAAGTTTATTTAAAAATATAATATATTTAAAATTGAAATTGAATGAATAAAGTATATGTTATATCCAAGGGCAAAAGCATGATATTTAATTAAGATTTTATACCATGAAGAAATAAAAACAATTAATTTATGTTTTCAATTATTTTTTAAATCATTAAATGTTAAATACTCACACAATGATGTAATGATTTTTTTTATTATTATAAAATATTTAGCAACTATTTTACTATAATGTGACTGTTCAAGTTCTAATAAGTTTTCAAATACTTATAAATGTACAGAACATAATATTCGTTTTATAGTTATAAATAATATATATTTCAGTAGGTGGTAGGTAACTATACTTAACGATGTTTTTATAGTTTATTTAATAACAGTAGTTTTCATTCTTCCGTTTTTCGTATTTTTACCATGCGAACAATGCATGTATATAATGAAGATATTGATTTATACTTAAATAAATTAAACGTCCATACAAATTCATACCGATCAATTTGATGAACTGCATGTAAAACGTTACAAGTTTAAAGTTAATTGTATTCATAAAGTACTTACACATTTTTATAATGTTATGAGGTTTTTTTTTATTACTTTTCGAGAGTTGAGATATCTACTAAAAGTGTTTAAATATGGTATCCAGCATTTGTTTTTTAGATAGGTAATCGAACACGAAGGTTGTTATTTTAGATAATTCATTTTTTGATTTTACGCCTTGGAAATCATAACGAGCACACGTTCTAAAATAATAATACAAAAAAAAATACAGCCTTGTTTTTTGTGCACCGTCAAAAATTAGTAACCAAGCACTTACCAATAGGTTAGGTAGTAACTAGTAGGTAAAATAATTAACTTATGAAACCAAAGAAAGGCAAAATATTAAAATAAGCTCGCATTTAATTGGGATTATGTTTAGTTTATGTTTAGTTACAATAAGAATAAGCCGTCATTAATTTGAGCGAATGACCGAAAATTTACTTGTGCAAAGATGATTTAAAATGATTGTACTTTTTCTAAAAGGAAATCTGATTTGGGTGGTACTTAAGGAAGGTCATTTTTTGATTTTTCCAGGAGTTTTCCCATTAAATGAAAAAAAACTTGGGCAAAAACATGGGAAAACCCGAAGAATAGGATAATAAGTACAATATTAAACAAATATTATTAAAGAAAATATATAATAATGTAAATTATGTAATTATTTTACCATAATATGACACATATTTTTTGTATAAAGCAACACTGTTAACCAAACTCCGCTCAGAATAGTTTTTCATTATCAATGGTTAATTGTTGCGTACAGATATACATTGAATTTTCCCTCTACCTTGCAAACTTTTCATCAACAACAGTAGCCCACTCACGTGCTAAGTATGTACGTCTTTTTATATCTGAATTTACTCTATCTTGCCATAGTTGCCGAGGTTTTCCTCTAGGACGTTTGCCAGTTGGTTGGTTAATCAGTACTTTAGGAATTATGCTCTTTTCCGCTTGTCATACATAATCCTCCCATTCTAGATAGTTGGATTCCAAAAAAAAATTAATATTTGGTTAATTATATAGGGATTCCAAAATGGTATTTTTCTCCTTTCATAGTCCTCAGTTGATTCATTTTTCACAGTTCCGTATATTTTTCTTAGCACCTTCCTCTCAAATATAAGAAGCTTCTCCACATCTCCTTTAGCTGTCTACCACGTCTTACAAGCATATGGTACTATCGAGTGTAAGTAAGCTAAGTACATATTTGCCTATGGTAGCATTATAAAACCTCATAAATAAAAAACAAAGACTCTCGCTTCATTCGCTAAGTCTCCCAACTATAATTGAATACTTATTTATAATTTATGCCAAACAGACTCTATACGCTTTTGTTAACGTATGAGTTATTCGAATATAAATAATCTTTACTTGGCTTTACATAATATAACCTTTAAAGAATTTAACGCTGAAAAAGAAAACTATTTTTTTCCATTCTCATTCACTTCCCACAAACAACAGTGGCTGTACCCATTCCCAGTATCAGCTCTTTTTTTTTTTAAATTAAAGTTATTGGATCCAGGGTTGTTCAAGGGAGGCAGAATTTTGTTTAACCAAGTATCTTACCTAATTTGCTGATGAACTTTTTTGTTTTTACTATCTGATATTAAATAATTATAACAATGATATTTTATTTATGGCTAACTTGTAATATGTGAAATTCTATTGCCGGCAAACGTGTCTAGCTTATAATAATACAGTAATCATATAATTTTACATGAACAATTATGGAATATATAAATTACATAAGAAAAACATAGCCTAAGAGTGGGCGCGGGCGATCGCCTTGGCATCCCCTTTCCTCTTGTATCCCTCACTGTAATGTAGAACGTTAGTTATTAGAGGTTAAATTTTAGTGTTCAACTCAAATTGGTTTTGATATGCGTCATTTTTCGAACTTTTCTGAAAATAGTGCACGCAATCATTATACAGACACGCAAACATTGCATATTCTTTTTTCTTGTATATATTATAGTGTATCTCATAAATAATGATCTAACCTAGCATTTGGTTAGTTAAAAAATAAATTAGTAGGTTACACGTCGGTATAATGATATGATTACATTTAAACGTCATATTTTCAATGTATTTATTTTTCAAACAACGCCAAATAGGTAAAAATTATAGTGAATTATAAAATATAATATGGAAGAAATTGGGTGAGTTATACGACGAAAATATAGTAACAATGACCCAATTATTAACAAAAAGACGGAAATACTTCACACGATGGGTTGGCCACTGTTGTAGGTGAGAAGCTGGGAAGGTAGGATATAGGAGGAATTCAATGTATCTGTATTATCTGTATTCAATGATTAATCTTTGCTAACGAAATATAATTCTTATAAAAAAAAAATTACACATTAGACTCAACTTTTTCTTGTTGACCAATAAGTACAACTTATAATAAACCTCCTGTTCAATTGTCAAACATTTCTGTTTGGTCTTACAATTTTCACAGAACATCTTCTGAATACTTAAATATTACGAAAAAACTTGCTAAATTAAAATTTCTGTTTGAAGTTTAAAATATTTTGTAAACTTTACCTCGTTTATTTAAGGTAAATATAAGGTTTCTGTTAAAATGTCAAGTCTAAACATCTTTCAAAAATGAAATAACAAAAGTATTTTTGTAAATTGTCCCAATTTTTCTACGTTTTTTCCAATAATTATAAAAACTTTTGGGAAACCAAAAAATGACCTCCTTAAAATACCAGCCTAGTCAGATTTCCTTTCATAATAAGTGCTTTATTGAACAATTGGAGCGAAATTGCTGATAGAAAAGTTCTCCACAGAAAAAAATAAAAAATAAACATTACTGTAAAACCTCGCTCTACTCACAATTTAAAATTATGACCTCAACTTGGTTTCTGAATCGGAGAAAAAAAGAAAGTTTCTAATTAATTATATAAGGTGTAGTAATCAATAAAGTGATAAGTTCATATCTTTTAAGTCTATACTTGCAGGGTGTAGCAATTTGCAACATAGACTATTGTATAGAAGTAGACGGAAAGGAAAACGTTGGGACATTAACTGGTATCAAACAGTGGCGTCATTTCAATTTTTTTTAATACGCATAAGTTTTACTTATTAGTATCCTAATCTAATAATGGGAAAGCTACTATTTATTATTTTAGGCCAATTTTATAGCACCAGGTCAAATTATGGAGTTTAAATGTATACCTTGCGCGGTCTAAATGACGTCACTGGTATCAAACTATCAACCCTGAAGCTCCAGAATATTCTATTTTTTCAATTAAATTGTATTTGTAATGTAATTATTATGAATATACGGGCTAGTAATAGCGTAAGGGGGGGGGGGATCAAATCATTTTTTTTGTAAATCAGGAATGGGTATAGTATAAAATGTTAAAATCCACAAATAGCGTCTTACATTTGGATAGCGATTCTAAATAGAGCTTACATCTAAATGCTATTGTTTGTCTTAAACATTATTTTTTTTCGATTGTTTGTATGCACTTTTGCGAAAAATTACTTTCACTGAATTAGTACTCTCCGTGTAAAAACGACTACGTAAAATGTTACTAAATTTTCGTAACTTTTATGGATTTAATATAAATGTATTACGCATTAAAATGTTTCCTATAATAGAGAACAAAAGTATTATCATTGCACCACTTTTAACTTAGTTATGTATCATCATAACATTAGGATAATTTAATATTCGGCATGACATAAATATTTTTGAAATATGGTATCTTTTTACGGGAAACAAGAAATAATTACGTTATAATAAACCTAAAATAACTTTAAAATTTAAATGTTGATTATGAACTTAGTTTGCTTATGATTCCTTCTAGATTTTGATAATTTTTACCATTTACTCATGATAGTCAAGTAAAGATTGTTTTACGTTTGCCTGAACAAAAAAAATAAATGTAGGTACTTGTTTACATTGTTTGCTTGTTATTTACTTTACAGATGAATTAAATTATTACAAAGACAAAATTGGATTTTTCAATTTTTGGATAAAATAAAATTGGAATCAATAAAACACGGTTCTTAAATAGTTATACAGATTAATGTGTATTGTAAGTTCTACATTATTCATGCATAAAATATATTATAATATCAATACAAATAATAATATTATCAACTTCTTGATAACGTATTTTCAATTCTGTTATTCACGAGCAGTTCAATGTTCGGGTGCATTACAAAACTCAGATGACCAAATTTTATTTTGTCGATGTAGTAAATGTCTTTTACATTTGGTAGCTTATCCACCAACCACTTTACATCCTATAATATTAATAAGCATATAAAATTGATTATGACATTTTGCAGTACTACAAATTTAGTTCAACAAATTTTTATCAGTGTACAAAATTACAGGTTTTTAATTTTTAGTTTTAATATCGCTTATTGTTTGATTAAAAATATTTTATATTTTTTAATTTGACAAAAAATTAAACCGATGCAATGTCTAGCGTCGATTTATATTGTCCTGATCTTATAAATTAAAAAAAAAATATATTGATTATAATATTCTCTATGTATTTATAAAAATAAATTACCTTTGGAGCACATAATTTATCGTTCTTAGAATGCAAAATGAAAGTCGGGGCGGTAACTTTCGATAAATTATATTCTGGCGGTGTTTTCATGTTGTAGTATTGCATATTAACCTTCATACCGTAATCAAACTTACAAAACTTTTCTATAAATAAACAAAGTTAATTATTAGTTAAAATTGAATTTTAGACTTTATTTTAGTAACTACTATTTATTGTATAATAACATGAAAATAAGTTTTAAATTTGTTTTATACAAATTATAATATTCATTACTGAGATATTAACGTAAATAAACAGGAAATAAATAATGAAAAAAAAAAATTAAATATGTATTTTGAACAGGATTCGGGACTTATTGCACTTTAATCAACACAAAAGCTCTTAAAAATTAAAAAACCATGAAAAGGTAAGAACTTAAAAAATATTTAAGTAATTAAAGTAGAAGGGCTTCACGTATCTAACTTATTTATAAGTTTATATAAAAATATAGTGTTTAGAGTATTTATAAAATAAATATTTGTATGTGCTTTTTCCACTGTTGTTTTGCTGGTTGATTTTAAATGAATTATAAATATGATTTAATATTTAAAAAATAGGTATTAAATATTAATTTATTTTTAGTTTGAACTTACTTGAGGATAGTGATTGAAGCAAATGAAGAAGTAATTTTTTAGACATGGGTTGAGGGAAATCCGCCATAGCACTAATCACAGTATCCTAAATATTTCATAATATGGTATTATTATAATATTAAATTATATTATTATTTTAAAAAATATTATTCACATAGGTACAAAAGGTTTACATAATTTATTGGTATTTAAATTATAAATACTTGGTGTTGAGTGATAAGGTATTAATATAATTGTTTAGCACCAAGTACCAATTCCAAACTTATGTTCACAATAAAAAATAATCTAATTCACAGGAATTAACCTAAAATAAGCCGGAACCCCTAATTTTTAATCGAAAACAATCGTTAAAACTCGTTATACCGCCCTCATATTGTAGTACTTTACTATAGTAAAATGTGTTCTACTAGAAAATCATATTTTTAATTTTATATACTGATGGAAAGTAATATTTTGACATTAGTTTTGTAAAGATATAAAATTGATTTTATAGTTGATTATTATTTATAAGTATGCACAGTTTGGTTAGTATATTTTTACCACCCTGGTTTGAGTAGTGAAGTACTTTACGTCTCTACAGACTACAATGTTTACTTGTTATTAAAATATTAAATTGTAAAAGGCAATAAATAATAAACGATTAGTCCAATATTCAAGATGCTTAGGTACACATAACAATTTTCAAAAAATTAAATTATTTATTGAGACAACTATTAATAAGCAATCGTGAACCTGTGTTATTAGAGGTATCAAGATAGATTTGTTTGAAAAAATGCAGGATTGTGAAGTACCTATTTAAAATTAAATAATATACAAAATAATATACTCTTATTACTTACTTTGTTGTGATTACCTAGAATGCCTTGTGCTAAGTTAATATACAATGAGCAAACTGGATAATAAATTCGGTATGTACACAACCATCTGAGAAAACGAAGGGTACCATCTGGATCTTGAAATACCGGGAAAAAACTTTGTTCTTTCATGGTGTACTATAAAAAAAAAGCAAGTTAGGGAAGCTAATTTTGTGACCGTGAATAATTCCGGATATTTTTTTAAACAATTTTTGACAACGTTTTATAATTCTATTTACAATTTGGAAATAATTCGGTAACCTACTATATTATAGTATAATTATATTATACGCAGAAATCTAAATTTACTATAAATATATTGATTGATAGAATACTTTTAAAATTCTTAGGCATTTAGATTATTTCGAAGTCAAAATATAAACATAATATGTATAGAAACCTATTGTATATAAATCGGATTTTAAGTAGACGAATATTTTATTTATAAGATACTTTTCTCTCAAAAATGTTTATATTTTATAACTCTAACGATTAAATACTTGGTAATTTGATTTGATTTTTTTTTTTTTAATATAAATATAACAGTATATAAACGTATACGACATTTGAATCATTCTTTTTTGTTAATAAATCATTAATTTAAGTTTGTTAAGGTCTAAATACATATTTAAAAAAAATCGACCAAGGGCCCGTGAATGTTCTTTGTAATACTAGATACACCTCGTATACGGATCAAAGTTTTCTATCTATACCACGAGCGGCAACTGTTCACAACATACAGGATGTAGTGGGGAATTTAATTTGGTTATGTTATTAGGCCTACATGTGTATTTATACTAGAGACAGGCATGAAATCCGATTATCCGAATCAACCGACTACCCGAATATTAAAATCCGAGTTTTTCGAACTTTATATCCTGATTTGATTTTTTATTTGACTAGATCACCATATTTCCTTAACGAACAGTATCATACAACTTAAAGTGATATCTAATGAGTCTTGACCTAAAACGCATCTGATTTCAGAGGACATACTTCTTAATTCAATTGTAACTTTTGAAACGTTTCGATAGCAAAAAAAAAAAAGAATTGATACTGGGGATGGGAGTGGCCACTGTTGTAGGTGAGAAGTCGGGAAGGTAGGATACATACAATTATTTAATTTATATCTGTAAGCAATGATAAACCATTGCTTGACGAAAGACTATTCCGGGCGCAGTTGGGTAATATATAATTTGAAGTGCCGTAATTTTTTTTGGGATTTTCGTTTAAATTTGATTTCAAAACGCTTATATTAGTAAAATATTACGATTTTTTTTTTTGTGACCGACTTTTCTATTAGTAATTTTGCTCCGATAGTCCGATTTACAATGGTAACACTTTTTCTGAAATAAAATTTGACTGGGCAGGTACTTTAGGGAGATCATTTTTGTTTTCCCGGCAAATAAATGTGAAAACCTGGGAAAAACAGAAAAATCGGTACAATATTAACCAAATATTATTAAAGAAAATATATAATTCCTATTTAATTATTTTACCATAATATGACATATAATATATAGTTGATAAAGAATCACTATTAACTGAACTCCTTTCGTCAGCAATGGTTTGTCGTTGCTTACATACAGAACATACATAACAGTTAACAAAAAAAAAAAAAAAAGTCCAGAGGGACGATCGCCCCCATGGCCTCTAACTATAATAAGGTGTTATCACAAATTAGAGGCAACTTACTTACCTATAGTACATACTACATTTATAGAAACAAGGTATATTCGTTACCTATATTCACAATTAAAGCTAGTACATCTTGGTTTTATAATATTTATTATCTTCGACCGTGGTTAAAGTTTATAGTATATTTGTATAATATTGATGACATAAGGGTGTTGTTATCAATTTTTATTGAGATAAACAAGATTCATTTGTGTTTAAATTCCAAATTGTTTGTTATTTCTACATTTTAAACTAAAAATACGTTATAAAACTTGGGATACACATTTATAAGCAAGGAACAGTATTTTAGGCTCCGTAATAAGTAATGGCATAAATGTCAACTATAAAATTGCTTGTTATAAAACGAATTAACTGCGTATATGACGTAATGTACTAATTTGACTATGTGAGCTATATTTTACTACAGTACAACATAGGGATTAGGATTAAATAATAACGATAACTAACAAAATTAGTCTAATAATCCGGATATGCCCATCACTTATTTATACAAACTATATTTTGTATAATTACTAATACCTTGAACAAAATGGAACTTCGAGAGAATGCGATTAGTGGGTAACCGTAAGCAGTCATTCTGGCGGCGGGCGCCATCAACACCAGTTTGTCGATTTTGGCGTTGTAGGCGGGTCTTTCGGAGAGTCCGATCAAAGATATGGTGGCACCCAATGAGAATCCCACCACGTCTAATTTGGCGCGTCCCGTTTTGTTCAGGACAAAGTCGACGACGGCTGGAAAGTCGTACATGCCCATTTCGTCGTAGCTACATCGTATACACCGCAACGCCAACAAATATAAAATATAATAATTTGTACACAAGTGGATACCTAAACGTATTATCATCACAAGGGCTCGGATTTATATGCTCTAAAAACCTTAGAAATATGCATTTATGCTCTTATTTTGTAGAAATATACCCTTAAAAATAAAAAAATATGCACAAAAAAATCGATTTTCAGAAAAAAAACAATTTTTTTAAAATTTTTAATTATTCCTTAACTATTATCTTTATTTTTAAAGTAGGTTCAAATGATTGATTAGTAATGGTATTTTCGAAATTTTTCAATCTGTAAATCAATACACACAATTTTTTTCTCAAATAAAAAATATGCATCATATAACAAACTTGATTTAAAAAAAAATATATATATATATTTATTTCTATTATTTCTATTATTATCTTTAAACTAATATAAATATAACCAACATATTACATATTATGCATTTAAAAACCATTTATATGCAATGAAAAATCGTAAAATACAAAAATATGCTGTGCATGACAAAAAATAGCAAAAATATGCAAAATAAAACTTTGTATTTCAGTTCTTTTGATTATAATTCAAACTTGTAGTTTATCTAGCTACTTTCTGAATCGTTTAAAAAAAACACGCAAATGCATATAAATCCGGGCCATGTTGGATGACCCACGATTATTTTCGTTGTCATTCGGTGTATATTTTTGGAGTTTTAACGTTTTATTGTAACCGGTTTGGTAAAATAAAAATTGCTCGTAATTCAACATAATCACCTGAAGTTCCACGAAATCTTGTCCATTCGTGGGACGATCCCCTGCTTAGAGTAGATGCTGTACGTCCTCGATAAGCCTGTCCCTCTGGCGTTGAACAGCCAAATGTCGTACCCCGCGTCTGACAGTGAATAACCTTATGGAAATGTCATATAGAAATATTAACGACCCAGAAAATATTAGTGATATTATCTATACACATAGTGTGTACAACTGTATAGGAATATACGTTTGTGTTTAAATTGAATTTTCAATATTACTCGCACTCTTTGCGCACAACGATTTAGAAGTTTATAAAGACGACAAACCCGTAAACTTATTGTACATAACCACTATCAACCAAACCTGGTGTACAAAAATTCTTACAGGAAATTTTTTTGGGGTATTACTTTTGGGAAGTAATTTTTCGGGAAAAAAAATACATTAATCCTGAAACATATCTCTTTATTATTATTTATACAATGTGTTAGTCCTCTTCTTAATAGTTTCATACCAAGTAAAATCTCGGATAATCAGTAGTAAGAGAAATGCAGAAGAAACTTGTCCCAAAAAGAATTTAATTAAAAGATGAATACAACACACTAACAAAAATGTATGGTGTTGTTTAGATAAATAATTAATAATAAATGTATATTTTTTTATTTATTTATTTTTTTTTTTTAGTCTCTTGGAATTTAGAATAGGGTAGGCATTACCACCATTAATGAAAGAACATGTAAGGGGATGTTGGGGAAATAGCCCCCCACGTTTCAACGAGGTATAAAAATTAACGGAAACGCTAATTTTGTATAAGTAAACAGAGTACCCCTTCTTAAATTTTCCCAATTCCAGCACTGTATGCAACATTACGCACTGTATTGTTAAGAGGGTTGGAGGATACCGACCGTTCCATAGGAGTCGTGTATAGGCAGTTTCTTTTTTTTTTGCGTGTCGCAGTGTCTGTGTGAGACGTGAATGAATATTAGTGTGCGTTAGCATTAAAATCAAGATTTTGAAAACTATACGATTCATACAAGAAATAGCCTATACACAACTCCTATGAATCGGATGGTCTCCAATCTCAATAAAAGGCAATTATCCTTAGTATTTAAAACAGAATAACTTAGAAACTTCTTTCAAATTTAAATATTACATAACCTCAAAATTTTCAAAAAAAATCATCTAATTGACAATTTACATTAAAAAATGTAGGTTGTTGTTTGAAAAACCAAAGTTAGTATCACTACAAGACACTCCTTGAATATTGTAAAAATCAAAGTACCTATTCGAAAATAGCGTCCTTTCTTATACTTCAAAATTCGAAAAATCAGAATTTCAATTTATGAACAATTTAACTATAAAAATGGATTGAAAAAAATCACTTTGTATACAAATATATAATTTAAACACAGAAACCCAAATATTACACAGGATTACAATTATAAACAGGTACATAAAATGGTACAACTTCTCTAATTATTAAGTATAAATTTAGTAAAATAATATTAGTATTAGCTAAATACATTGTGTGTCACCATTTTTTTGATCTTATTGTGTTTATTAATAATAAAAATGTTTAATGAACGACTCACTCAACGATTTGTTCGTATATGCAAATGCATAGGAACTCGAAAATAAGCCATGCAACAGCAAAATAGGCTTGCCAATAGATCGGTTACCGCGTTTGCTATATGGTATCCGTTCCAAACCAAGCGTGTACTTGTCTTGAGTATGGAGTTTATATTTTTCTAGCGGATAACCCATTTGAGTAATCGCTTCTTCCTGTTCATTTGTTTTTGATTTAAAGTCGTATAAATGTAAACATGTAAATACATTTTGACATGCTTATTGCTTTTCCAAGTGAAAATCGATTTGGATATGTGCAAAGTATAAAACTTACGGTATTTAAAGCGACATCGTGGCAGTTGGCGTGGCTTATGAGCGACGTAAATAATAATATAAGTTTAAATAAAATGTAAAATAAACGGTGCATGTTTATTAAAATTCAAACAATTACCATCAAAATATAAAACCGTTATAATTGTGTATTTTTACTGTTACATGATATTTATAATAATAGACGACTATTCATCTGAAAACTATATTTATGCAACACGCGTGTGTTGTGTAAACTTATATTTAATCAATCCGAATATTTTATTGGAAATATCTGCGTATAGGTGTAAATCAAACGTTCAATAAATTGTATAGAAACTCATCAATGTCCAAGGACAAAAACGTGAAATTTTAGCGTGTCCTTGATTTAAGTATTGTCGTACTGTTCTTTATGATCATCTCGACCAACTAAATGAATTATTACGAAACATTATTGATTTAATTACTAAATTAATAGTCCTAAAATAAACGTGTAATATGCGTGGAATACATTCAATTTATTACAAAATAATCCGTGTAATCTTTTCATTATCATTTTTAATGCATAACTTTAAACAACTGTAATTTATGTTTGTTTGTTATTAGTTGTAATATAATTTATTTGGTTTACACAAATAATTTTTTTTTCTTGAACAGTCAAATTCGTTACCAATTAAATAATTTCAATATGCATATTTATTTTTATTTTAGTCTGTGCATACTCATATTTAGAATATTAATTAATAATATTTTAACTAATAAATCATACCAAATGTTTATTTTAAGACACAATTTTATAATATTATACTGAAAGATATAGTCTTAAAATTGGAAAGTTGAAACATTTTAAAATTTTAAAAGAGCAACAATTTATAATTAAAACTCATTAATTTACTGTTTGAAATTATAATTTACATTAGATTCTGAATGAAGCGAGGAATGTATTGGTTTTACGATGATATTTTTGATTTTGAGTGGAGCGAAGTTTGTGGTTTTACAAAGATGTTTATTTTTTTTTTTCTGTGGACAACTTTTTTACAAAAATTTTAATGATAGTAATTTTTTTGAAAGGAAATTTTACTATGGAGGTACTTTAGAAAAGGTGTTTTCTCAGCAAATGTGAAAAACTGGGAAAAACGTAGGAAAATCAGGAAAAACTTAGAAAGACTGGGGATATAGAAAAACATTAAACAAATATTATTTAAGAAAATATGTAGCGCCCATTTAATTATTTTATTATAATATGGCATATAATACTGTTGACGAAGCATCACTATTAACTGAACTCCGCTCAGAATTATTTTTCGTAAGCAATGGTTTATCTGCAATGTAAGCAATGGTTGCTACAATTTCATTACCAGAAAAATTAATCCAATGTATACGATGTAGACCATTTTCTCAAAGGGAATTTTCTTGGGGTGGTACTTTAGAGAGGTCATTTTTTGATTTTCCTGGCAGTTTTCTAAATAAAAATGTACGAAATATATTAGTAAAATATTACGATTTTTTTTTCTGTGGACAACTATTCTACTAGCAGTTTTGCTCCAATTTACAATGATAATATTTTTTCTGAAAAAAAATTTTTTTTCTGAAATCAGACTCAGAAGGTACTTAAGAGAGGTTATTTTTTGATTTTCCCAAGAGTTTTTCCAGCAAATGTGAAAAACTGGGAAGAACGTAGAGAAAACGGGAAAATCGGTACAAATCTTTAAAGAAAATATATAATGCGTATTTAATTATTTTACCATAATATGATATAACATGTATATTGTTGTCGAAGCATTACGATGGTTTATCGTTGTTTAACAATACAAATTATTTTCCTCTCTAAATCCTACCTTCCCAACTTTTCACCAAAAATAGTGGTTACACCCATCATGCGAAGTATGTCCGTTTTTTTTTTTTTTTTTTATGAAATTTGAATAATTTTCATATTATGAATATCTATTTACATTAGAATAAATAAATATGAAGCTATAAATAAAATTTAAAAGTTTGTGCTATTGTTGCTCTTATTTAAGTATCCTATTAAATCATGTTTTAAAATAATACAATATTAATAAAATATAATTTTAATAACACACAGTATTAATAATGTGTTAATTGTATGCTTATTATATAGTTATGGCACTATAGATAATTCAATGGTAATATAATGATAAAATTGCATTCATTTTCAATTTAGTACATATTTAATCAATGATATAGGATTTAGAAGCAATGATTAAAAATGGTTAACAGACGTTAGGTCCAATAAATTAATTCCAATCGTATTTTAACGTGTGACATAATTATTGATATCAACATTTTTGAAAATGTCATATTATTACATTATTGTCAAACTGTGTATTGTGTCTTATATATGTATATATAATTTCCAACCTTCATCCCACCTTTTGTTTGCATGATAGCAGAAATATTGAACATTACTTTACCTATTTTGAAGAAAAATGTTAATAATATGGAATCGAATACGAAATCATTAAATCCGTATTCCTATGAAATTCTCATAGTTACCTGAATGAGGCAGTAGACCGTGACATAGGACAGGGGTAGAGGGTAGACATGGTCTAGTGAATACAAGTCATAAATATATATACATTTAATTTAAATTACTATTTAACATAATACTTTTAACATTCATTAACTATTTTAGCAACCATAATTATTTTAAATCAATTATCGTAAATCGTAATCGCAACAAATCGGCTTGGAGAAAACTCTAGTAACGGAGCTCTGTTGTGTACGGGTGTTTATTATTACAGACATGTATAAACAGAATACAACTTTTCTCGTTGATAGTATCGTATAATTAATTCAATATGCACGGCATCATGCATTATAATTTAACAGTATATTTGCTATGTATGAGTTAACAACTTGCTTCATTATCGGGCTTAATGAAAAGCTGAGGTGACCCCACGGTATTTTGTCAATGTAGTATACGTCTTTTATGTTTGGTAGTTGACTTATGAGCCATTTTACATCCTGAAATACGATAACTACATTTTAAAAATGAACAATATACAGATTAAAATGATAGTAAGGTAAAATAGAGAAATAGTATTTTTCTCTTGCGATTTTTAATGTTTGTATCAGGTACAAATTAAACGTGTGTTGAATATTCAATCGTCATAGAAATTATTAGACCATCAGACAAATATTGTTTGAACTTGATCATATTATAGATAATACAAAAACATAAACATTTATGTTTTTAAATAATTATTTAAGTATTTTATCACCTCTGGAGGAACTAGCGTATCATTTTTCGAATGTATAATAAATGTAGGTGCAGTAATTTTGGACAAATCATAATTTGATGGTGTTATTGAATGATACCGCAACAAGTTTCCATAGGGCCCATAATCATAATGACGAAAGCTTCCTGAAATAAAGAAAATAAGTAAATATCAAATAAAAAGTGTGTACGACTTAATTCATCTCATTTTTTGGCACTATAATTATTGAACTGAACTATACATTATATGTATTATAAGTATTAAGTATGCGTAGATAAAATAATTTTATCAATTGCTGAGCGATTTACTGTAATAATTATTTTATAGGTATTATTTTAAATCTATTTTACTATAGGTACTTAAAATAATAATAATTATGTGTTTTCTATGTAATTATGAATTTTTGTGAACGGGTGAAATGAAATGATTTTATTAAATTTATAACTTAAACGATTATGTTTTACTCACCATGCGTTAACAGCTGAAGCATATGTCTTAGTGTTTTGGTAGACATTGGTTGTGGAAACAAAGACACAATGTTCAAAATGGTGTCCTAAACAAAAATAATCTCTTCAATCCTATTCTAAATTCATTAAAACTAAGTAAATACATATTATACTCAGTGGGTAATCCCAATGACGATGTGTTTTGAATTTTTGTCCATCTCTAAAACAGTGTTATTATTTTTTTATAAAAAATTTGGAATTCATTACAACGTCACGTGAAAAAGTGAACAAGTGAACCGTAGTTAATAGGTCATATTGAACAAGTTTTGTGAAATAAAAAAGGATTTTAAAAAAATGTTCTTGGATATTTTCTTGGTATTTATTTTTACTTTCAAGATAATATCCTAATGATAAATTGATAAGACTCAGATTTTGGAGACAGAAAAATAAATTTAAAAAAAATCGCTATTCAGACACCTCACGCATACCTTCATTCCTCATGTTTCTAAAATGAATCATGATTCATTTTAGAAACACCTTGTGTATTTATAAAAAAAACCTATAGTAATATCATATATATATATTTATCTAATAACTTTATTCAGGCATTTTTTTATTGCAGAGGTAAAGCCGAGTGGGACAGCTAGTTATTATTATAAAAGATAATAGTATTATTATATATTTAATATAAATATAGAATTTCCCACGGAAATATAAACATTGCAATGTCTTAGAAAGTATTAACTTTTTTTGGAATTTTTTTTGACAATTTAAGAAACAAGCTCTAAAATGGTACATTACGATTTTTTTGTTGCCGTTGCCCTTATCCTTCAAAGGAGGTGAACTTACTATTGATTTTCAAATGGAAAATTTTTGTAATAACTACCCAAAATTAAAAATGAAATATCTCATCAATGGGTTCATGAAAATCAAAAAATTCAACCCCAAAATGAATTTAACACTTTTATATTTAATATTTATGTATTTAACACTGGGTCTATTTATGGAATTTTTTATATAGGTTTTCATTTGAAAATCAAAAGTAGGTAGTCGGTTCATCCCTGCTGTACGCACCGACGCAATTGCGTTTAACAAAATCTTTAACGATCTCCAACGAAAAGAGGGGGACAAGTTCCCTTACACGAGGCTGTTTAGAAGAGAGCAGAATCTAAATCACGCCAACTATCCAGACCTGTACCACTGTGCGCTTACATACTACCAGGCATCGGGAGCATTAGGACAATCTGGAAACTTTGTACGCTCAGAGGTCAAAACAAGGACAAGCACGAAGATGCTTGTGTTCGGAGAAAGTAACGAAGTCCCCACCGAGATACTGAGGGAGTTGCAGGAGATGAACAAGAAACTAGAAAGGCTGATAGCTGCGACAGAAAGATCCACGTCAGAAATTCAACGCACAAACTAGGGAACTCGAAAAAGGTAGTCGGTTCATCCCTATAAATAGTGGTAAAGTAACATATTAAAGATACTTATTTTTTAAATTGTCAAAAAAGAAAAAAATAGTTTACACTTTCCAAAATATCTTAATGTTTATGCCTTTGCGGGATACTTGTTTATATGTACAGATTGTTTCACTCAACTGGGACACATTCACTATCACGGAAAGTATTAACTTTTTTTAGAATATATTTTTTTTTTGAAAACTTAAGATCAAATAGTTCTAAAATGTTACATTATAATTTTTTTTTAAACCCTTATTTTTGGAGGCAAAACGAATACCTACTTAGAATTTTCAAATGGCAACCTATATCAAAAATTCCATACATAGATGAAGTATTAGTTAAAATAAATTTTTGTGTTAAAATGTATTTCATAAATATATAATAAATATATAAAAATGTTTATGAAATTGTAGAACTGCTTGTTTCTTAAATTTATAAAACTAATTCCAATAAAAAGTTAATACTTTCCGAGATAATGAATGTTTCCAGTTGAGTGAATCACCCTGTATATTTATATTTTGTAACAATACTTTATATGCATATTTGTTTTATCATTGTGTACATTGTTCATTGGTAAGCTGATTCCTTGTGCCAGATCAATAAATGTTCTACAAGCCATAAACACATTTTTATTTGTACACATTCGTCGAATTAAATCGTATGTGGTATCTGGATCTTCAGTGTACGGCATGAAATTAAATCCATATAATAAAACCTATAAAGTATAATATAAATAATATATTAGATTATTATAATATTGCAATAATAAAATAAATACATCATGAGTATCGTGGTAGTAGATTACTATTTATAATAACTTCATGGACATATTTATTAAATGGAGATTACGTTTATAATTTTGGAAAATTGTCTAAAGAGGCCGATTGGCATGCCTGCTGATTTTAGTCTAGACGTTGGAGCCATGAGAATGAGTTTATTGATTTTCAAATTGTACTCTGGTCTTTCGGAAAGACAAGTGAGGGCTATAGTTGTTCCTAAAGAGTATCCCAAAACATCCAATTTGGAATATCCCGTCTTCTTCAGAACAAAGTCTATTGTAGAAGTCATATCATATACACCCATCTCATGAAAACTAAAGTTTTAAAAAAAAAAAGAAAAACTAATTTTACTAATAATAACATTAAAATATTAAGGTGGCATATTATATCAAATATTGTACATTAAATCAGTTTTTATTTTAAATCGGTTTTAAAACATATATAGGTTTATTTTGTTGTTTAAAATATAGATATAAAAAAAAAAAAAAAAAAGAATTTGAACAATGGTTTTTTTTTTTTTTAATGTATAGTCTCTGTTTTTCTTTTATTCAATTAAAAGAAAATTATTTTTCATAGGCTGCACAATAACGTTGTTAATTATTATCATACCCATACCGGTATAAGTAAGTAACGCGCAACTTATAGGTAAAATAATTTCTACAATACTTAGGCAAAAGTAACGTGATTTTTAGAAAAAGAAGTTTTTTAAATTTAATTTAGTAGACCCCTTCTTAAATTTTCCAAATTCTAGCACTGGATATTATTATTAATATTATTGCAAAAATTTGACAAAATTAGATACATAAAAGTTTACAAAATGCAATTTAAAAATATATTATATATCTTGTATCTAGTGTCATTTTTAATTTCACAACGTATCTTGTATCTAGATAAACAAAATGTATGTATCATGATATTATTTTTTGAGTATCTTGCTTTACGTATGTAAAGTGCGTACCTTACTTCTGGCTTTTAACTTTCCGAAAAATGTATTGATCGTTTCATCGTAAGTAATAATAATATTGTCATAATAATACTCGCATGAGTAGATATGACCGTTATACGTTTTAGTCGAACATGGAGGTATTGTAAGTAGGTATAATTACTTAAATGAGATCCGTTACCTGAAGTCCCACGATATTTTGTTCATTCTTGCTGGCGATCCCGGCCCATTATAAATACTTAGCGTTCTCGACAGGCCTACGCCTCTGGCGTTAAACAGCCAAACATCGAATCCGGCATCCGACAGAACGAAACCTAAAACATAAACGTTTCATTGTTTCAATATTTAATGTAGTACTATCGATATTAGGTAGACGCGTGTTATTGGTATTTATATTGTTATACACTTTAGTACGAGATATTGTCAATCAACCATGTATATTATTTCAATGTTAATAATGTTTTATATTATGCGAACGAAATGTATTATAGCCGTTAACTCATTACCATGCACATGGTATAAACTTGTACTCAATTACAAGTTAATAGTTATATGGACATAAAAAAGAAAACAACTTGTTGGCATAAATAAATCGTAAAGAACTATAATGTAGGGTAGGGCTGTAGGGCCACATAGGGCAGAAAGAAAATCATACGTTTCAAATATATAATATTTGTAGTAACATCAATTTGATATGATCATTTGACTTGTTGTTGGTTTTAAAAATGAAATAAAATAATTGATGTTAAACGATTTCAAAATAAACACAATTTTTACTTAATCAAAAAAATATTGTCACTATTGTATTTTAAATAAATTATCATAGAAATAGATATATAAAAAAAAAAAAAAAAAAATGGGACAAATTATCAGAGATGTGTGTTGTAAATTTATCAGAATATTAAATATTACTGATTAGAAAATATTTTATTAAGCAAATTTAGCTATTTTACCACTTATATTTATATCACTTTATTAGTAAATTTACCGGTATTTTTTACGTAAATTCTCCACCTCTAAAAATTATATTAATTTTCCATATTTTTGGACACCTGTGTGCTTATTGGTGTTAAAAATTAGTCTAGCATATCTTTTTAGGTTATAATTAGAGCACGGATATTATAGTAGTAAAACTATTGAAATTGATTGTAGTATTGCACTAAAAACGAACAATTTTCATACAAAAATGTAAATAGTTGGCTTAATTTTTGGTATATTTACAAAACAATAACAGAACACGATCAACCAAAATTCACGAAGTGACTGAAGAACAGATTATATCAGTTAAACAGCCACATTCCACAAATTATTTTTGTATTATATTGAATACTTACCAACTTGGAATTATTAAAATTAAAATATGATACCATTATTAGATTTTATGGCTGGAAATATTAAAATATAATCTTATCTATACAATTGTCAAGTGTCGTCTATAGCTAAACTAGTTGTGTAAATGAGTAAATTCAATAAAATTGAAAAAATTGCAAAAATTGCAAAACATTGCACTTAAAACTTCTAGATTTGAATTCGTACTTACATGATATGTATTCAAAACATACTTAACAATAAATTGAAAAGGGAGAAAAAAGTTGCAAGTGCAACAACATCTGTGCCCTAGTTATCATCACAGTATTTATCACATCGCAAAGTTCTTCTCTAAAACGTACTATTCTTTTTTCATTTTTACATGTTGTTAAAATAGTTAAAATTATGTTGTTTACTTATTTACTAATTGCTTACTTTCTACTTACTGAGTGAAGAGTTGTTCAATGTGAATATGGCGGACGATAAATAAAGGCCGTGCAAAAGCAGAACGGGTTTACCGATAATGCCGTTTGCACCGTGTTTACCGTGGTGCGGTATTCGCTCCAGTCCCAACAAATAATTGTCGCGGGTCCACACTTGATACGTCTCCAGCGGATAACCGAATAATTTTATTTGTTTTGACTATCAGACAAAGATTAAAAAACAGTATATAAATATAAAACAAACATTTCACATAGATTAGATAGCTAAAGATCACATTAATCTTATTCAGACTTGGGGACGTTAATTATAAACTTGTTCATGGAATAATTAAGAGCATACAAATTGAAGTAAGTTCATTGTTTTTTTCTTTTTCTAAAGAATTTGCTTTAAGTTTATTTATAAATTAACTTAAGTTAATTAAAATTTAATTTCACTATTGGTTTTTAGTAACTTACCTAGTCTCAGTGATTTTATTCAATATTATATTAGGTATGTACTATACTGCTCCGGGCCTATTCTCTATTAAGTATGTACTATACTACTATTTTAATAATCTCAAGAAGACGGTCACAGTAGAATGTATTTCTGTAATTTTACATTCTGTGTTTCTTACATAATCGCTTAAATTATTGCCCTGAATTCTCAATGTAAAATTCGGAATCTAAATGTTTCCAACTAAACGACCCTATTAAAGTTCAAGTTCATTAAAAATATTGGCTTAATTCAAAAAGTTTAATTCACGTTTCGTTCATATATTTTGAACTTTGAACGGATAAGTTCATTTAATCTCGTTAATTACGAGGTCTGGGCCTAGTAAAAATTTTAGTAACGTTAAGTAGTCATTTTTCAAACTGTAGCCGATTATAAAAATTAATAATTGGGTACGTTAACGTAGTTCTAATACGAAGTCGGACCTTAAGGCGTGAAATTCGTCATAATATTTATGATAATACAGGCTGTCCCACGAAGATATACTCCTTGAATATCTCCGGAGATAATAAGACAGTCAAATTATGTTTTTTTTATATTACTCACAGGAATAAAGACTACAAATATATAATAAATTACTTTTTATTTATTATTTAAAAAAAATATTAAAGTTAGCCATTTTGTAGAATACATATGATTTTAAACATTTTAATGTATCACACATTTATGTACGATCGATAGTTTCTTAGTTATATCTGTTTTAATATCTACAAAAAAGGTGTGAAAAACGACTAAACGAGTTATCACATTCCGCGATAGCGAATTATAGTCATAATACAACGTAAATCATGGTAAATTGATACGGCTATTATTAAGAAACTATTGATTGGATATGAATGTATGATACATTAATTTTTTTAGAAAAATATAATCTACCAAATTGCTACCTTTTAATTTTCCCAAAAAATTAAAACAATACATTTTTTCAATTTTTGTATTAAATATAATTCAAATATAAATATTACAAATATTATCCTTGTGAGTAATATAAAAAAAAAAATTTGATTATCTTTATTATCTTCGGAGATATTTAAGAGGTATATCTTCGTGAGACAGCCTGTATATGTATTACGCCTAGTAATTTTGTTACTTTTTAAGCATTTGGTAGCAATTCTAAACATATAAATTATATTGATATAGTGATTTTTGTTTTTAATACCTTCTAATCTTCTAAAACGTACATAAAAGAAAAAAGAAGAAAAAATAAAGATCGATGATTTCGAGTCATTAAAATTTAAAATCGCATATCAATTATGCTATTGATTAAAAAATATGTTAATAGTAATATGGTGTAATATCAATACATTTAAGTTTAATAACTAAAATAATCAATACTGACATTCTGACAAATTAATAATCATAATACATTAGGTATTTTAAGAAGAATTTTTATATTCTTAGTGGAGCGATAAAACTTATAGTTTTACAAAGTTGTTTATTATTTTTTTATCTATAGACAACATTCCTACAAGAGATTGTGCTCCGATTTTTAAGTGTAGTGGCTTATCCGAAAAGAAATCGGTGTAGGGCGACACACTTTTTTTTATTCACTTAAACCAATGCACTATTTAATTTCTCAACATTTTTTGAAAACCAACCGCTTTTATTTACATACTATATTTTTGTTCTACATGTTGCGATATCTTTTTATATTTTGGTCACAATATCTAATAAATCTATATAAAGGTTTATATAACGTAAACCATAATAGTCTAGTTCATTAAAAATGAACTTGTACACGTACCTACCTATATGATATTTCTCTTTTTATTAATAATAGAATACATTTGGATTTCAGGTATTATGTCCGACACGCCAGTGATTATGCAATATTCAGTAGGGGACTGGGAGGAATAATCGGATATACTTATATATTTAGTAATTTAAAACACGCAAAGTAAATAAGTACGTTAGAAGGTATTATTTCATAAAATAAATTATCAATTTAAAACATAGATTCCAGCGTGGAGAGGTACTATGTGATCAATATGAACTCTTAAGAGTAAAAAAAAAATATTATAGCTGAACAAAATATAGTCAATATCGGCTTATAATTTCAGGGAAAAAAGTTGTTCACAAAAAAAAAAATTAACAACATGGAAAAAACACATTTCCCACTCCACTTAGTGTCTATAACAACTTGGTATCTATAACCGGGCCTTAAATAGTAAATAGTACGACGACGTGCAGCACGAAATCAAACTAATGCAGTACACAACTAACACAATTTATAAGTACAAAATTTATCAGTTTCCAAATAACTTAGCGAAAAACATTTTATAAGACTTACATTGTACATTGAAAAATTCGTAAACTCTAAAAGACTAAATAAATAATTTTCTTGTTATCCAGTTTTGTATATTTTAAATTCTGAGTGTAGCGAAGTATGTATTGGTTTTACAAAGATATTTATTTATTTTTTTATACTGTGTACAAAAATTCTACTAGAAATCTTTCTCCGATATATACACGTTGCAAACATTTTAAAAGGAAATATTGTCCAGATGGTATTTTTGGGAGGTTATTTTTTGATTTATCAAGCGGTTTTTATGGTCGGTATCTTGGAAAAACCAGGATAAAAGGTAAAAAAAAAACTGGAAATTTACGAATATAATGCTTTTATAATTATTTTTAATTTAATGAGAAATATTCGTAGAGCTTTGAAATTTCGACCAAACTTATATTTGCCTTTTCTAAACAAAGAAAAATTTTCAAATCATTTGAGCCATTTTTAAACTTTTTATAGACATTTTAATATTTTTGTGAAATTCAGTTTAAAATATTAGTATCAACTTTATGGAATTGAAATTTGGACAGAAAACTTATATTTACCGTTTCTAAAAGACTAGATATGGTCAAATTTTTAAAACGATAATCGTTTCGAGTAAAAAATTATGTGGATCAAATCTAATTTAAGATTCCGAGCGTAGCAAGGGAACTATTGGTTTTACTAAGATGTTTATTTCTTTCTTTTTTTTTCTTCTAGTCTGTGGACATGTTTTTTTCTAGTAACAACATGAAACTTTAATCGCATAAAAGATAACAAATTTTATCTAATACCTTATGTAATAACCAATCCTGTTTAACCTTTTTGTTGTATAGTTGTAACTTAATATTTATAGATAATTGATAAATGTCATAAAATAATAACTGTACAGAATATAGGTTGCTTAAGTTTTAAATCTCATGTCATGTAGGTACATGCTATATGCACATAAAAAAAAAATTAAATTAAGTTTTATCTGCGTATTCGTACTATTTTTACATGATATACACTTATTCACCTAATGGTAAATGCGTATACGCCGTATACCTCCATATAAACTTCGAAACACCACTGTCTAAGTTATCTAAACTTAAAATTGGGTTGTAAAACAATATTTACTTACAGATTCCAAACATGTTGCATGATCACACATAGTACAAATAGTAACTGTTAACGAGATAACGGTTAACAGACATTTTTCGGGGCAATTAAACAATAGCATGATCTAAAACACTAACAAAAATTCCGTTAAATATTTTTTTCTCATAAACTGTTAGAAACTGTTAAGTTTTTTTTTTTACGTTTTTCTTTATAAAAAATACACTTCAAGTATATATTATTCGCTTCGAGTACGTTTTAACACTGGCGACATGGTATTGCAATTTTGTCTTTATATTATTATTTTTTCTAAATGTCTTTTTTTTTTCCTACTAAATTACCTTAATACAGTACTATTAATTATAAAAAATAAAGTACCGCAAAAGGATTAGACAACGGAAATTTTACATGTTTCTTTATAGTTCATTGTTATTTTAACGTTGTCATTTCCTTAAATGGAGGTCACTATCATTACTCGAATGAGTATAATATTAATTCTTTACTTATATTGTAAGAAATATTCCATGATACATGAATTACCTAAATACACGCATATATCTATATATATGTATTTCAAATAAAAAAAAAACGGTGTATCATCGAAAAATCGTCACCATCAAATCGCATACCACGAGGTCAAAATTCACCAAAAAATATATTTAATATACAAGGAGGTCATACTGCCTGATCACTTCACGATGGCCATAAAAACGGCAGTTTAAACTTTCCGATCTCGTAATTCATTTATACCAAATGTCAATAATAATTATCTTTTTCATAATATTATTCTATAGTTCGGTACTATTAGAGTACATTTTCTTTAATCGAAAATGATGCTGGGGATAATGTTTGTACCACGGATATGTCATCGTTATAGGTGGGGAGTTGTGAAGATAAAATATTATGTGCGGTAATTTATAGTTTATGGAATGTACTGAATGTATAACGATAAATCATTGCAAATGAAAACCGATTCTATTCTGAACGGAGTTCTTTTAAACATTTTTTTGAATGATTCAAATTAAAAACTCTTGTAATTTATAACTTTACAGAATAAATTTTAATTATTCGTGTTTTTAACGAATGTTAACATAATATCTTAAACGTTAATAAAAACACATCACATCATTTTTATAAAAGAATAAAACCAAAAAAATTCGAATATTTCAAATAGCTATCAATTAACTCAAAAAACGCCAGAAAATTTTGAAAAGTTCTATTAAATTGTATATTTTACGCTGATAGAAAAGGAAGCGACTTGTTTCCTTAACTACGGCCATGGGATTGGGGAAGTTTATATAAAGAATGTATTGGCATGGGAGGAAACGTTCGATATTCGGGACTGCAGAAAGGCGAGTCACTTACAGCTAATTAAAACTAATAAACTATAAAACATACAACCAGTGTCTAACTCCGGTCTGGAGAAGTTGAACGGCGAGGCCTTCAAGGTAGTGCGGACTCTCAGCCAACACAGAAAAAACGGACCACGGTGGATGTTGGGTTATCGCTCTCGTTTTGGCACCAGTCTTCACCGTTCTGTGGAAAACAGTCCGCACTTGGTCAACTACGCGACGTCCAAATCGTTCGAAAGGGTTAAATACGGACGAAGTCGGCGGATAACGACGTTCCCGGACGGCACAAGAAACGGGCACAATGCCGACGAATGTTTAGGTACCGAAATGAATAACGGGAACGCACGTGTTGTTGGGTAAAAATATAATACATTTATAACATCAACAGAGCAACAAAATGAAAAATTCATAAATTAATTAATTACGAAAAATAAAAAAGTAAAATGTAGGTGATCTAACGAAAAAAATCAATAATGTTCTATTATAATGACAATAATGCGCTTCCAAAAGCGCGGCGGACGGACTAGAGAACATTGTAATAATATGGAAAACGATCGCAGGCAATGGTGACCGAGAGCTCGGACACGATTATTATATACATAATAGCGTACATAGGATTTCAACTTCAAAAAGGTCAATCGAAAACTGCACACTTTACCGATTGCCATATTGGTACATTGTATAGCCTAATACCTGTGCGATTGTGCTCTGTATTCTATCACAAATGTGCGGTTTTTGGTCGGTAATTAAGTTAGTATACAAACCTTATTAGAATTCAAGTTGTATTCTAAATGTATTTATTGTAATACATCTGCAATTTTGTCATAACTATGCGTTCCATGAAATCTACGACAAGCCAAACTCGATGACCGCCGTTAAAAATTATTAACATCGATCCAATGTATTCTCACTCCCAAAAACTTTTCTTCTTTGATGACCACGCGTCAGTTGTGACTTGTGGTGCATACATATTTTATACCCTTAATATTATTTTTAATTTTATTTTTGTTGGCCTCAAACAAATAGTGTATTTTTCCCCAAGAGTTCGTCGACTTTGAACATTAATTTTTCTTGTGATTCCAATATTTTCGAATTTATTTTTAAAATATGGGTTCTCCTCAGTCCTTAATGAAACTATTGAATGAATAATGAAATTGGTAATATCATTGTCACATTGGTCTAGAGAATATTCACTACAATGTTTTCTACCAATTGATTTCGCATTCTTAGAATCGTTAGTTTTTAACCGTTTTTCAGATAAATAATTTTCATATGATGCAAGAACAGATTGATCATGTCTTTTATTGATATGAGACTTAAAATTTTATGGTGAAGATATTGATCCTTTTATTTCAACACATTTTGGTTCACATATTACGCATGAAGCAATTATTTTATTTATGTCCATTTTAGATTTAATTTTAAAAAACTTACCATCTACAATTGACATTACATTTGTCATTTTAGTATTACCGTTTGAGTTCTCCTTAGTTGTTTGTCTTATCGAAGTTATCGTGTCGTCATTATGTATAGAATCCATACTACAAAATTCATTAAAATTAAGCCAAATGCGACTGTCACAAGTACTCGAAACTTGCAAAACAACTAACCTTCAATCCGAAATAATAATCGATTTTATTTTCGTTACTGATAGACTGATATTAAAGCAGTTAAGATAAGCATCAGCCGTCTAATTCGATCGCATTATATAGACTTTAGATTTAGACTTAAGACTATTTCGAAAAGTGCAGTATTTTTGTATGGAGCTTAATATTAGTTTGACAATTATTAGAATGCATTTTTATTTGAAAAATCAGTTTTGAAATTATTTGAGTGCATTTTACAATAGCTAATAAGGCCAACATTTGGGTCTTATATGACGTTTGTTCTTAAATAATTACATAAAATCGCAAAACCTATCGCATCATCAATTTACTATGCTAAACGCAATGTGTGTACTGCAACGTTTTTCTATTTAAAATCCTCATAATTTATTTTACGTGATCCTAATTTTAGAAATACGTCGAGCTATAACTATTCGGTACCGAGTGATCATTTTCCGAGCGGGATGATTTATTATTTCTCATTTAACGAGCAAGGCTATAAGTTTTAAGGCTATAATTCGGAAAAAAAATCCTTGTAAATTGTGTATTATAATGTACTATAATATGTGTATTATATACCAGTAGGTACCTGGTGAAGGTCATTAGTGTGATGAATATATTAATTCATAGTCCAGCCGCATTTTTAATACATCGTCATGGTAATTTGTTATGCATAGAAAACATAATATTCCTCATCAGGCTATATTTTATGCTTGGGTGAAAATACAGGGTGATTTTAAACGAAGAGAGGATTCTATTGGGTTTTTTTTATTGGATTTTTAATCGACTTCATGGATAAGTAATTCATTTTTTGGTTTTTGTAATGTTTGAGAAAAACCGGAAAAAGACGAAAAATGCGAAGTGATAAATTTACGGCGCTAGGATTTTATTATTTTAAATTTGTAAGCCTATACTGTCTACCAGATATATTGCTCCGATAGAAAAACAAGACATTTTTTTTCTTGCGTTTTAAATCTTGTTCGTGAGTAAAAAGGTCGTTTTTTGTTATTTTCTCTAGTCTTATTAAAAATTGAGCATAATCGAAAAAAAAACGCAGAGAGAACGGGAAATTTTACTAAAATAATTTTTGTATTACTTTAAATTTTGTATTTTGTTTTTTGTTACGAATCTTTACCAAGTTGACTATATTTTAGTTAAAAACCATTCTAGAACCAACCCCACCACATCCCCTTACTGGGTTTGTATTTTTTAGATTCTGAGCTATTGGTTTTACTAGGATGTTTATTTATTTTTATTTTTTATTTTTTTTTCTAGTCTGTTGACATTTTTTACTAGTAAATTTGCTCTGATTTTAAGCNCTAGGATGTTTATATATTTTTATTTTTTATTTTTTTTCTAGTCTTTTGAAATTTTTTACTAGTAAATTTACTCTGATTTTAAGCCACTTTTGAGCTTTTAACGAATTTAATTTTTGAGAGTTTTTTGTTGTAATTTGGTTATAAATACATGTAGAGACTTGAAACTTGGTTATAACACTTATATTGGACACACCTAGACGTAATAAAATGATCGGACTTTTTTTTTTAATAAACTTTTTGAAATCAAATTTTAACGAAAATCACAAAAAAAATTTTAAAAAATACGGCACTTCAAATTATATAATACCGAACTGTGCTCGGAATCGTATTTCGTCAAGGAATGGTTTATCGTTGCTTACAGAAATAAATGAAATAACCTTATGTATCCTACCTTCTGGCCGCTTCCATTCCCAGTATCAGCTTTTTTTAAAAATATAATTCTATTCACAGTTACATTTTACATACAAATTTTAATAAATAAATGTTGTTTAATATATAAATTAAAATCCAATACAATAAGTCCCTTAACACATACATTCAAGATACTACTTACATCATATAAAATAGAATAAGAAAGAAAATTGAACAGGAACTCGATAAAGCTCAATTTGTTTTCAAACAGGGAGTTGGTTAGAGTGGTAGTTAATTTGCCAATGCAAAATTACAAAATTTACTTTGAGACACCTGCCTATATTAAACCGTAAAATAAAAAAAAATTTCTTTTAACTTTTGGTCATTCGGGTAATATTAAGTAGAGTTGCACAACACTTTAATATTTAATATCAAAAAGATTGTATGAAACCAATGAAAATAGTGTACCCACAAACGACCATTAATTTAAATAAAACCCAAAGGGGATATGCTGATTGAATACGTTAATAATATGTCATAAACTTGTTAGTTTTTATTTCGAAAATCTCTTGGAAAATCAAAAAATGACTTCCTTTATGCACCAATTAGAGAAAATTACTTTTCAGAAAATCTATTATGGTATCTACTATTTCGGAGCAAGTTTTCTAATAAAAAAAAGTTGTTCACAGACAAAACGAAAAATATCTGATACTGTGGATAGGTGCGGCCACTGTTGTAGATGGGTGGTGGGGAAAATGGGATACATCAAGTTATTTTATTTATATCTGTAACCAATTATAAACCTGGCTATACATGTTTTTAAAGACTGTAATATTTACCATTTTCGTCAAGATTGGTATACGAAAATGATTAGATGAACACAATTACCCATAGATATAATGTTGTATGTTTGTGCAAATAACCAGTGTAGTCGCACTTAAAAAAGATACATTTATAGTAACTAAATATTTTATTTATTTTGTGAAAAGTCTTACTCAACACACATGACGTCATCATAAGTCAAAAGTCTTCCATTCAAATAAGTACCATAAGATCAAATTTCCCTCATTTTTGTACTTCGTTAACAGTTATCATATTTAATGGCTAATAAAGAAAAAAACCGTTCTAATATTATTGTTCAATATAATTGTTATGACAACAAAATGTATTTACATGTAACTTAAATTTATATAGACTCAAAGTTTAAAAGTGTTAATTGTTTATATCTAATTGTAACACAATTTTTATATTTTATAACATATTTACCGACTCATTCTCAACATGTATTACGTTTATTTTCAACGAGCCAATTTGAATTTGTGCACAATATACAATGATGAGCTGTTGTTTGCAGTCATGGTTTTTTGTCGTCCGATAGACTGGGATAAATGTGAGTACCTATAATTTTTGTGACCAGATATAAAAATCAAAAGAAGGATATTTTACAATTTAGATCCTCCATTGTAAAAAAAACCCCTCCCTTGAAGGAATTGACCAATATATGTATACATCATAAACATGTATTAGCCCATATTATTTTCAAAAAAAAGTACAATTTCATGTACTTAACATTATCGTTATTGCTAAGGACATAAGATAATGCATCCAAAAAGAGTATTGTTCTATGAGAAAGAGTACGTCTGGTCACCATATCTATAATATAATATTTATTTAATAATGTTTTCGATGATTTTTGATTTTATGTTTCATTTATATCAATGTTCTATTTTCAGTGCAAGCGAATTTACCAACATCTATGGCCGACGAAAAAAATCCATCGGCTTTGAAATCAAAAGGTTCTGTATACTTACATCATCAATTCCATCATCATACACAGATTTATTGCGCCCCCATTCTTTCTCTTTTTTATACTTACGATGCCACAGTGGTCTGAAGAGTTTACGAGGCAAAAAGTCTCATTTTAGAATGTTGATTTTTTTGAAAAAAATTGTTCTATATATCGTTTGGAATTTTAATATTAAATTTCAAGTTCCTATGTACATTTAAATATACTGCAGCCTTTGAAAAATTATATTTCTATACTATACAATTTTTCCAGCAAAGTGTGTAACTTTTGTATTTATTTTTTACTTAACTATTACAGAATTACTTTAAAAATCAATAGTCAATATTATTTAAACCATGCATACATAGTATATACATTAAACTATTATAGATACAAATAATTTTTTAATCGTATTTTTTTTCTTAAGTCATTGATTTAAAAAAACCTAAATTGTATCGTTTTTTCTACTTTTCTGTACATAAAAAGTGCTAAACTGTTTTACTTTTTAATAAATCTGAATATTAAAGGAAGTTGTCTGCTATTTAAAAATATATGTTTGTTTTTGTGCCAATTAACCATTCCGGTATACAGTAATTGTTATTATTTGAAAATGTGTACTTTCGTAAAAACCATTATTTTGTCATTTTTACAGTACATATATTAATTTTAAATCAGAAGATATTTAACACAAATGTTAGCACCTATACACTATTGAATAATATATTAAAAGTTCTATAGCATTATATTAGATTCGAACGCCCAAGACATTGATTTAAATCGTCTTCTTCTTGTGGTTTTTTTTCTACTATTACTAATAGTTTTACTTCATCAAAGAGTTCTTGTCTCCATTTTGTCGGTAGGTTTCATATAGATATGTATCAGATGGATCCGATGAAATAAGTAACATATAGAACAGGTTTTCGTTGGTATTTTTTCTAGAACTTTTCCGAGTGTGTACTCTGACGCGTTTATAGTCCTTATTCTTAGACTCTTGAACTTCTATGGAAAGTTGACTTAAAATAGTTTCAAAATATGTAGTACAAACTATTCTTTATATTTATAATATAATATTAAGTATACCGATGGGAAAAATGGCGTACTGTATTACATCAAATCTTTGTACTGATACTTTATTAGTCTTTGTCTTAATCTTCAGATTTAAAATTCTCTCAAAATTAATATATGTACTGTAAACATGTCAAAATAATGGTTTTTACGAAAGTTCACATTTTCTAATAATAATAAAAAAATAAATTAGGCAATAGGCAAGTAAAAATAAAATAAAAAAGCTATACATTTTGCCGGAAAAATATATTAATATAGAAATATCTTTTTTTTAAAGGCTGCAGATTATTTAAATACGTACTTAGGAACTTGAAATTTAATATAAATATTCCAGGGGATGTACAGGGTGAACAATTTATCGTTTAACTCTCACTATCTCGCAATGTACTAATTTTTTTCGGAATCCATTTTTAAAAAAATTTAAAAAAGCACGTAGTTCTATAATTTTACGATTATGTTATTTTTTGTTACTCTTATTTTTGGGGTAAAATCTTGTGTTAACTTAATATTTTCCAAGAAACACATTTTCAAAAACAGTGTGTGCCTCTAAGAGTTAACCAAAACAATCGCACGCGCATTCATTCAATAATAAATAAATATAATAGGTAATACTGACATGTCGAAAGTACGTTTTCCTGTTATTGACAGAATCAAGTCAAGCCATTTATCGCTGAGGAACATCGATTTTTAAACGCTTCGTTGTCTTACCCGAAGATGATTCGAGGGATTAATCCTCTCAAATAAGTTGTTTTTTTTTTTTTTTAATTTTANCGTTAGGTTGTACCACGCTCTCCTAATTACATGCAAACTAAATTGGTTACAATACCGACAATCCGTTGTCGATATTGCACTTTTTAATTTGGGCCGTGAGAGAGTAATGGAGCAAAATTGGTTTTTATCTTCATGGCACGGTAGGCTGCGTTTTAATAATGTACGAACGTACTCTTCTCCAGCCAAAACTTGAAAGTAAAATATCTCATCAACAGACTGACGGAAATCAAAAATTTCAACACCAAAATTTATTTTGAGTGTCTTACGCTAGATTGATTACTCTAGATAGGTTTAAAATATTATATAAAACAAGTAATTGTAAATTTATAAAATATTTTGTGTTAGACGGCGATGATACTGGTGACACCAGAGATGAAAAAAAAGACTTTTGTCGGGCAGGCGGAGGTGACAATATAAACCCGAAATACGTATTTGGTAAAATATTTTATTGACGTAAATTTAAGTGTAAATAGTGTATAATGTATGTTCATTAATGCCATCGATACATCTAATTAAAACACGAAAAAATGATAATTTGTCTATACCACGGTTGTCCAATTTATTTTGGAAGCGGGCTATAATTTAAATTATATTTAACTGGTGGGTGATCTTATTAACAAGACCTGCTTACACATATAATTCTTCTATACATATTAATTAAATAAAGTTTAAAAAATAAACTATTTGTATACATTTTATTATTAGTTATAAATAAAATAAAATTATTAATAAAAAATTAATATTTTAATGCTAAAAAAATAATATAAATGACAATAGTTACATTTTAGGATGCCTCTATTATTTAATTTAAGCACCTGTGTAAATTACGTACCGAATTTGTTTTGTTATAGAGTAACAATAATTAAATAACTATAGGTATGTTTTATTTTTACTTTTTAACCAGGAAAAGAATTCAACGAAGCTAAGGCTAAAGAAATGTGTGAGTCGACTGCCACAGTCCGAGGTGGAAAGTTGGACGAAATAAGATTTACAAGAAAAGGCGAGCATATTTGTAAAATGGCCTGTAAAAGTATCGGTTTTAGCATATTAACAATCAAACCGACAATACTAATGCTGGTAGACAAGTATTGTACTAGGGAAGGATTGAAGCCCGTAGCCTGCGTTTGCAATCTGAAAGTTTTATGCCGAGAAAAGATATATCATGCATTTATCACCGTAGTTCCGAATAACGGTGGTGGAATAGCGATGTCGTTCTCGGAGGCGGGACAACCGCCGAAATCGAATTCGATAGTTAATCCGAATGGTCCTCTGCACCTAGCCTGACCTGAACGTAGGCTTTCGTAACCCTTTTCTTTTATGGCTTGTTTCTTTTATNGTTTTATGCCGAGAAAAGATATATCATGCATTTATCACCGTAGTTCCGAACAACGGTGGTGGAATAGCGATGTCGTTCTCGGAGGCGGGACAACCGCCGAAAACGAATTCGATAGTTAATTCGAATGGTCCTCTGCACATAGCCTGACCTGAACGTAGGCTTTCGTAACCCTTTTCTTTTATGGCTTGTTTCTTTTATTACTAAAAAAAAAATCTGATATACTGCTGATAGGTGCGACAATTAATTCATGGTATAGTTGTTATCTAGGTTTATCTAGAAAATAAATAACACCGTTTTCTAAAAACACTACGTAATAACTTTGTTCGTACTAGCTATAGATTCATCATGTTTCAGTCCATGTTTCAAAGCTAAGTTCTAGGATAAATTAGTTCGTCGTTTTAATGACGTTTTTTATAAGAAAGAAAGCTATTTTTTCGTTTCTTTTAACGTCTTTTCTAATCCTTCAATGCTCTGGGCTCCTGCCAAAATCGAACTTTCTTCATTGCATATCTTAGTTTGTAATTCTACTTTTTTAGTTATCTCATGCAGTTTTCTATTTAAATCACAAACATCGTCTTGCGATTTTTCGTTTTTGTTGTTCGCCAAATCCAACCGTTTCTTAGTTATAAATTTTGCCGGAAAAATATATTAATATAGAAATATCTTTTTTTTAAAGGCTGCAGATTATTTAAATACGTACTTAGGAAATTGAAATTCAATATAAATATTCTAGGGGATTTACAGAGTGAACAATTTATCGTTAAACTCTCACTATCTCGCAATGTACTAACTTTTTTCGGAATCCATTTTTAAAAAAATTTAAAAAAACACGTAGTTCTATAATTATCCATCGCTAGACAGACCTGTGCAGATCCGTTGTCGCCGTCGTCGATTATATTTCATATTGGATCCAGAATTATGAAGAATAAATAAGGTATACAACATATTTGACTATTACTATCGAATCTATCGTTTGAATTCAGTTTAAACAGATCCGTTATGTGAGAAAGACGTGCTTAATAATGTCTTCCGCTATTTTAGATATTCAATGTGTTTTACGG